TAACGTTGGTGGCGTGACCTCCGACCTCCACCCACCAGCCCACCAACAGCCAACCTCCGGGAGACCAATTGCGGTCGGAAAAGAACGGGCAGGTCAAAGTTCACACGTCCAACACCGATACAATTTGAGGCAGACGGCAAGGCGAACTACCTAAAGACCACCAAACTCAAATACCACAAAACTCTGACGATGTAAGCGAGAAGGTTTTCACAACGTCAGTTCAAATATAAGTTGGTCCATGAACACGCCCCCTCTTCTTTTTCCTTACCTTTGGGAGATGATGAACGCGATAACGTATCTGGACCCCGAATGTTTCGGCATTTACTTCATAGTATATAAAGCCTTTTTTGTGACAAAGATTGGTCAGCATTAAAGTGTTTGCTACTATACAGAACAAATCAACTTGAGCTACACAAAACTGTCAACCTTTTGCCGAAAATAAATTTATCTTATAACTGCGAGACAACCTGTATGTACTCTTTAGCCTGACTAGTCAGTGCTCCTATATAGCGGGATCCGGCCGCTTCACCGATCACTAAGCGAACTCACTAGTCCCGTTCTGCCTTGGGGCTCACCCTCGAGCTGTGCCAGCAGTGGCACAACGGCTAGTAGTCTAAGGAGATATCGTTGTCAGCACCGATAGCCATTTCTCTTTCATCAGCCGCCGTCAGCCAGTCATGTCTAACTTCCAAGTGGTGCACCGTCCGAGGATCGAACCCACGACCTTTCGATAAGACCCCCAACGATTTTACCACTGAATCAGGGCTCGTTGTCTTGCCAGTATAGATCAGGAGATATTGACAGGCGTTGACGAGCGTTAATCGATCGCAGAATGTAGTGCCCCTATGCGGCATTACCCATCGGATTTCAATTATCAGACAGTATTTAGTTAAACTTTTACTTTCTATCCGTTTTGGTGAAAGACAGAATGCCGAATAAACCTTCTCCTGACAGGGCATTTGTCAACTACAGTTTCTGCGTTCTGCGCATTATGTAAATTATGGTAACAAGTTATGTAACTGTTGCTCTTCCCTGTGGAAGGCCTGGTATTTCTACCTTATGGTCTGTTTAGAAGTGCGCAACTTCCACTCTGGAAAGAGAAGCAGTGAGGCATGCAATAAAAAACCTTGAAGTTCAAACAACAATCGAGCGGCTTAAATGGGCCGATAATTCTGCGCAATTCCGTGTGCGACTCATGTTGCCTATCGCCCTTTAGCCTGGTGTTTCTCAGGGAGTAGACCCCTGTAAGATTTGGGTTCCAGCGTCTGCTTCAAAATGACAATAAGAGTAACCAGCTATTGTCAAAGGAATACAGGAAAAGGGGGAGAAAGTGGGTAAAATATTAAATTATTGCTTACTCGTCAATAATTCGGTTATTGTTTTGCGCCCAATATGTACAGTGATGGTTTCTTCAATGACGTTAAGTGGCTTGATAGTACAAGGCAGAGTTTGTTTGAAGGATGTTGAAAGCTTTGAGATACAAGAAGACTCAAATACGACTGTATGTGCACCCCGGAAACCAGATCAGTCGTGAATAGGGTATTCAAACTCCCAATCTCCTATAAGAGTAAGCTAGCAAATACGGTAAAATGAACAGTTTCTGTTCACATCAGCATGCACTCAGGTTTCCATGGTTACACACATATATAAAGAAGGAAAGTTTGTCGGGAAAGTCTCATTGTACTCGTGAACTCATTAGCTGGTTACACCAACCTGTTGTGAGAGGAACTCTTCGCAAAACCAGCTTGAAAATGCATGATTATGGCTGGACTTTACCGACGAGCCTTATTTCCTCGTTATATTATTTCGGAATGCACAGTGTCTCAGTTATTCATTATAAATGACATAACCAACGAAGGCAATAGCGACTAGAATTCATATTTCCGCCTTATTAGCCACTACCATCAGCCAGCCATATCCAACCCCTGGTGTTGCTGCACCAAGGGCTCGAACTCGTGACCAGATGGCTAGAGACAGATAATTCTAACAACTGCGCCACGGGCTCATTGTTCTGCCAGTGCCGATCGGGAGTTTTAACAATGGAAGATTAGCACTCACCGATCGATGACGGTACACACCCGACCTGCTGGGTCTTTGGGTTAACTCTTAAGCCCAGCCCATAGCCGCATAACGGCTGGTGATCTAGGCGCAATGGGCGTTAGACGTCCAGTCAGCAGGTCGTGAGTTCGAGACTCGGAGTGCCGCAACACCCTGAGTTGGGTATGGCTGGTTGATGACGGATGATTAACCAGAAGTAGCTATTCCGTCTCCCTTGTCTTTGTTGGTAATGCCAATCTGCTTATGCTATTAGCTAATGCGCGGCTGCCGTTGTACAATCCAAGATGCAGCGTGAAGAGTACGTCCCGTAAACGATCGATGAGCACCTCGTATTCTCAGTTATGCTCGAAACGCGAATTTTCGCTTCAATTAGCAATGTTTGGATCCGACAAAGAAAAGGGAGACTAGAATTTCCAATTCTGCCTTATTAGACGTCAAGAGCCAGTCAGGCTTACTCCCAAGAGTGGCGAACCCCGAGATTTGAACCCGGTATCTCTGGCCATTGAATGCAACACTTTACCGCTGCACCACGGATTCGTTGTTTTTGTCGGCTGCAATCGCGAATATGGTGAATGCTAGGACGCTCGCCGATCTAGTTACGGAACATGTCCGTCCCGTTTTGCCCTGGACTTTTTATACCACCATCCATCCAATTTAATCCAATAGCATCTAGTAAACACTGGCGTGTTGATAGGGAAGCACGTATCAACTGTACTCAACAGTTGGGATTAGAGAAGCTTATTTGATTACGCCGAGGGATTAATCACTTTTGCCTATTATAGATAAAGCACTTATTGATACGTTAACTACCCGCAGGCAAAACACAAGCATTACGCACTAACTGCCCAAAAAAATAAGATTTATTTCTTAACCCATGCCATGATTAACGAACTAGGAATATTGCATACATATTGTAAGTGAAAGAAAGTTTTTAAGGAACGTGAACATGGATGATTGGTGTTGTCGTGTTATTTGCCTAGACGTCAAAGGAGGCGAGATTGGAGGAAATACAAAAGAAAATATGAAGGAATCACTGTCTAAGACTGCTAATCGAAATTCCAAAGAAAAATAAAACGACAACCACGCGGGTATATCCGTAGAAAAATAGGTAAGTGATAAGGATCCTAAAAAAATTACCGGCCTCGAAAACCAAATTGGGAGTTTCTGAAGAACAAATACGCTTCCTTTAACACTTAAAGCTTCGGTATCTTAACTTACTTTGCTAAAAATTCACTCATAAGGGCGAATCTTATTGCTGTTTGATTAGTCAGCGCATATTAACTTTTAAAGGCTGCCGTAATCACTTGTGAATCGAAAGTGCGCTTATGGCAACTAAATTGTTTATTCCCAAGGGCTTTCTTAATTATTTCTTAAAAGAACACTTTACGTTCAAGAGCGGCTTTCAAAGATGTGTCCTACAAGCTTTGTACACTTCCAAAACAGAAAATTACTCAAAATGCAGATATAATTCTGGAAGAAAATGGACGGTGTTGATCTGAGAACATCGATTGCTTATATAGTAAATTAAATAAATCTCACAGGGCCAGCCAAAAACTTTCCGAACTAATGTCGGTTTTGCCAGACGTATTACTCTGGCTACTGCCAACAATTCTCCAACTGGAAATATTTTATTTCTCCAATCGTAAGAAACAAACCAATCAAGTCAAGTCAAGAACGCGCGAAAATGTATGGCTTTTGATTTTGCTTGGTTGTATATAATACGAATTTTCCAACTTGGTAGATATTCAGCACAATAATAGAAAACATTTTGACTTACGATAGTTTGATCGATTACGCGAAGTTCAAAATCCGAGCAGCTGGTTTCCTTAACAAGTTTATGAAAATAAATATGCCTGTTTATCGATCAAAAAAGTCTGAGTCTTGGGGTTCATAACGTTTTTATCCCTTGAAATGAGTCGCGTCCGCGGGGAAAAAACCAAGAATAATCGAACATACGTTCTCAAATGTATACAGCATTTTGACTAGCAGTCATAATTCATACACGATAATGCTCTGCCGATAATATTTCCATATCCCCGAAACAGAAACTTATAAGAGTTCATATGTATACAATACTGTGAATAAAGTCAGCTACTGAAATCTAAATGCTGTTTACTGTATTATTGAAGAGATTACTGTAATGCCTAACTCACTGGTCGTTATGTCTTTAATCTGATTATATGTTAATCTTTATTTGCTGTAATTTATCCATCCCTGGATGCAGCCGTTATTCTGTGATTGGCGCCAATATCGATAGAAAATGTTGTTGCTATAAGCGCATTGCCGAAACGAGCCTTCTTTGGTATTTTGAACAACAAAGAGCACGAAACACCTTTCGAGAATCTCTGCTCAATTCTTGCTATTATAACTTATTATTGCTTTTAGAGTGTTTGAAATTTCCGAAGGCTCTACTTGTTTTCTCATAGGAAGGTGCAAATTTGTTTAATTATAGGCGTCACCTCGCGGTAGGCCACAGTTAAAGTGTTATATTCTAGCGACTGAGCATCGGGTATTGGAGTATTAATATTTTGAGTTACATTGATTATTATGCTCCCCGCTCCCTAAACTGATCAGGCACATTCGGTCTACTTATAACTTTTGCATAAACATATGGGCAGCCCCCGCAATCAGGCTGTGCGCCGCAGACCGAACCAGCAGTTCCTGTTAGCAAAACGTGCCTTAAATTCTTGGCGTAAAGTCCAAACTTGGGAAGAAGATGCGCAAGAAAAACACGGCTTTAATTTTGTTCGTCGTCTTTTGCCTCCTTTTTTCCCAGTCCAAAGTTTTGTGCTGGCCAACGCGCGTATAGTGGATTACCCCATTGTCTACTGCAACGAAGGTTTCGCCAAGCTAACTGGCTACAATCGAGTGGATATAATGCAAAAAAGCGGCAGCTGTGCCTATCTCTACGGGGACCAGACTTCGGAGGAAATGAAGAACCGACTAATGTCCGCCTTGGATAACCACACAAAAGAGCAGCTGGAAATTCTGCTTTACAAAAAGAACAGTATGTTCGTCCAGCCATTCTTTTTCCCCACCCACTGCTAGCTTTCCAAGCCTACTATTTCGTTTTTTCGAGTGAGGTTTGGAGCACAAAATGCAGTTTTGTGGCAGTTATTGTGTTGCATTTGTTCACTTTTTTGATTTTTTTCTGTAAGACAATACTTTTAATTTTCAATAGCTGTTAACTTAAAGCCGAATTGACTAGGTCGATAAATTCTCGTCAGGCCAGTACATTTTTATGAGGACATGGCCAAACGGAGTAGGTCAGGGATTAGAGGAGACCCAAAGCTAGTGTCCGAAGGAGCGTACCTTGGAAGAAAACCTAGTCTGGCCAATATAGAAACCTCTGAATTTTCCTATTCCTAAAACAGAAACGCAAGTTACACACCATTTTTAGCGCAAGATGTAAGGCATATTTCTCCGGCTGACAGTATTGAGAAAGGGCTTAGAAAAGTCCATGTCTAGCTGTAGGAGAAAGGATATCAGTACAGATATATCGCAAAGAATGTTCTAAACAGACCAGAAGCAACCGCACCATTTTTTGCGGGAAAGGAGACTTCGATTGCTCACAGTCCCCGTTAAGGGGGAGCGGTGAGAGAGATCCCAAGAACACATTTTGAGCGAGCTATCTCCCGAACTTTCTTGACCAACCCTATTTTCTTGGGAGGATACATGGATAAATTGCCATGTCAGATGACACTTATTGATGAATGTTCACCCAGCGCTAACGAAAATCACACGCTTTTCGCTCTGCCCTGGGTCTCATTCTCGGGCCCTGACAGTAGCCGTACTGCGGCTAGTAGTTTAGGCAGAAAGTATTGCCGGCAAAGACAAGGGAGACTGAAATGACCCTTTCTGGTTTATAAGCTGTTGACAGCCAGTCATACCCAACCCCAAGTTGTGCAGCACCCGAGGCTCGAACTTACAACCTTTTCAATCATATTCTTACCCTTTTAACTATTGAGCCAAAAGCTTGTTGCCATGCCGGTTTACATCGAGATTTATTGACACTCGTTAAGGAACCTTCACCGATCGCTAACGCAACTCGCTCGTTCCGTTCTACCTTGGACCTCATTCTCGGGTCTTACCAGCAGCCGCATAGCGGCTAGAAGTCTAGACAGATCATGATCAACTAATGTTAATATCGCCAGATCTAAATCGGCAAGACAAGTAGCTGGCAGCTCAATATTTAGAGCCTTAGACTTCTGATCAAAAAGAACGCGAGCTCGGGACTCGGGTCGCTCCAGTCTCCAATGACTTTGCATGCAGCACTTCATGTCGGGTTACCTCAATTTGCGTTTATTGTACCATTTGCGTCTGTGGAGCAGGCTATATTTGCCACCTGTCCAAAA